CTCAGAATCTTCTTCAAATGTATGTGGAGATGTTTCTTTTTTTTCTTTTTTTCTTTTTAAAATGGTGTCTTTAAATTAGTGAGAGATCACCCTGGACCAAAAATAAAGGACAAAGAAAATCTTTTTCCAAATGAAAATGCCCCGCAGTGGCACATTAGCAGAAAAGCTAGGTTAATTTAATTAATTTTGATTGGAGCCAACGTGCCACAGTCAGAGTTCTTACTGCGGCGTACCTCACCGTCTTAATTGCATTATTACACTCTGTCCCTGCCATGCAGGATATTAGAAAACGTTCTAGTCGACGAACACCGGCCGCCCGACCTCCTGACCTCCGCTGTTTGTTCTTTTAAGAGAAACCAGATCACTGTCGCTGCTGGTCGTGAAAAAAACACGTCGCCTCAGCGGGAACCGAGCTCGTAAAGTGTGTTGTTAATAAGTGGATAGTATAGAACGTGGAGCTCCTCTGACAGTTTCTGGTTCCTCGTGGTTGAACAGGGTAATTCCTTTTTTTTTTTTAACAGCAAGGACGTCTCCTTATTAACAGCGTTAGTGCAGAACTTTTGCACATGGAGCTGAGTTACTGCAGGAAGGGCTGTTCACACAGCACGAGCTTCAGCCAGGGTGGTTTGACCTTTGACCCTCACGGCCACGTCTGAGGCTTTTTGGCTTCTGTTGCCGTGGCGTTTTAGGTCAATGTAAACAATATCTGATGGTCTAATGGCCAGGGTGGTTTTTTTTTCTTTTTACTAGTAAATGCCAGTCCTTAAAAAATATAAGAGAAATTTAGATTTGTCAGACCTGGTAAAAGGTAACAACAAGATGAAGATTTTACCAAAAATATAACTGCAGTTTTCTCCTTAAGATGATGAGAAAGATTGTTATTGAAAAACACCAAAAAGACAACTGCAGTTTTGTCCTTAAGATGATGAGAAAGATTGTTATTCCCTGAAATGGCTCTGGAAATGGTCGTTAATATATTTCCCAGTGGAAAGAGGGCAGAAAACATGTCATTTCCAAACAGGATGACGATTAAAACAGAGAACAAGAAATGATATTTTAAGATCGAACTGAAGAACTGTCTGTCCGGTAAAACCCTGACATTATATCAAGCAGACTGATCTTACACTTAAAAAAAAAAAGATTGATTTTATGTTCAGTTGTTACAAAGAAAGAAATGAACTTAACAAAATATGTCTAATATCTAACACTGATTTCTGACTTTGCAGTCATATCTTGAACACCCATTTCACACGGGAAGTTTAATGTGTTTTTCACACCTGATAAATCATTAAAAAAAGAGATTTTTGACATTTTTATACAAATTAACACATGGTTTAACGGTTGGTTGAAAGCTTCTGCTGAACATTGTTTGTATTCAGACTTTGGTGTAAGGCTTCGTCCAGTCACATAACAGCACCAAGTTGAGTTTTTTTTTGAACATTGTCAGTCGAGTGAAGTCACCAACGACTGTGACTGTGTACGACTAAAAAAACCTGGTATTGTCCCTTTAAGCCCCCCCCCCCCCCTCTCTCGTGTGAGTGGGTAAAACCAGGGCAGCTGACAGAGGAGATGTAGAGCATGCCAGTGGCACCGCTGCCCTTTGTAAACAGTCCATCTGCATCGGCCCCTCCCCCCTCGCCCCCCCAGACCCTCCGCTTAATGCCCAGAATATGACCTTTTAAATAAGAAATCGACTGAAACAATCGTCTCCTCCACCTGTACCTCTGCTCCTCCTCCCTCCTCAAACGGACTCTTCACTCGTTTCTCCTTCAGACTGGAGGATGTGTGAAGTTTGACGGTTGTTCAGAGCAATTTTTGGGGCCACGGGACCGTGTTTTTGTCTGGTCTGGAATGATAGAACAAGACTTTCTTAGTTAATTAATGGGAGATCGTGATGTAACCACGAAACGCTGCAAGTCGAGGACGTCGTAAACCGAGGACCTGTCGTATGACATCCACTGTAAAGACTTAACATTACAAATAAAAAAACTACACGTTGTTGAATGTTGATTTATCTCAGTAGTGATTAATCAGGAATAATTATGATTTATCTGCCGTTACTCTGTTACTAATTAAAATCATTTTAAATCATTTTGATGGCTCTAATTAAAGAATATGAATCAACCAGTAGGAACAGAGTTGAAAAGACAAAGTTAGTTGAACTTTTGTCAATGAAATTCATCACGATATACAGTTGACAAAGACTCTTATTAACTTTTATCAGGAAAAGGAACGAAAACCTTTTCTGTTTTTCTGACAATCTTGATTCACTTTATTGAAATAATTGATACCATACAGTTCAACAAAACAAATATTCCACTGGGTCGCGGACATCTTACGACTCGTTGGCCTTTTGATCATGTGGGAGAAGAAGATAAAAAAGGTTTTGAAAATCAACGTTGGCCTTTTGTTTCCCTAAAAAAACATTTCTATCATATTTGCTACACAAGAAGAAAAGAACCGAACTGGAGTGTGAAGAAAATGATATACACTGAACTGGAGTGTGAAGAAAATGATATACAAAAAAATATCTTATTAACAAATATATGGGGCATTTTTGTTGTTGTTATGTTTCATAAAATTCTCAGTTAAAAAAATTAAGAATTTTCTGTTTTTATTTATGTGTCAGACTTTACAGGGTTGAAGTTGCTCAACAGTCAAAATATCACGACACAGATGGTGGTTGATCATTTTGTCTGCAGAGAAACCGTTGCTGTGTTGCCTGCAGTGGTCAGTCGTGGACATATGTCTGACATGTTGTCTGTTGATCTAACCAGACCACGGCTGCAGACTAAAATAGAAGCGCTCACACACACACACACACACATTAACAACAGTAACATTAACACACTCTTTTGCTGTAACACACAATGATACAAATACCAGCCAATGACACTGACACCATCATCATTTGCATGCATGTGTGTGTGTGTGTGTGTGTGTCTGTGTGTGTGTGTGCGCGCTGGCTGGTGCAGAATTTTTAATAACCTCTTTTGATTAGAATCCCCCTCAAGCGGATTATTTAGGGCTGGATCTGGAGCGGGTTTAAAGGCCACTGCCCCCCGGGGGGCGCTCCATTGCACTTCTCTGAATTCAAATACGATGTCCTTGACACCTCTGTATCCTGTTCCCATTTTGCACTATTTTTTGCTGCTGCAGCAGCAACAGATGAGTGGCGAGGGAGTGGTGTGTGTGTGTGTGTGTGCTGTTAACCTGTGTGTCCCCCCTTCTTTTCACAGAGTCGCTCCAGGCAGGAGGACCCAGAGCAAGCTAGACTGAAACAGAAAGCTAAGGAGGTAAGCTGCTGCTGCTGCTGCTGCTGCTGCTGCTGCTGCTGCTGCTGCTGCTGCTGCGCAGATCGTTACCCTTGACATTTCCTCCGACTCCAGCGTATTAATTTTTTATGCCTCACTGCACATGTAATGCAATTTGAAGTCGGACATAGAAAGTTTGAGCAACGTCTTGTACTGATTGATACCCACGTGTGCCTGAATATTTAAAAATAGTTTTTTTTATTTCACCCATGAAGATGCTAGCATGTGGATGAGCGCCACCTCCGTCAGACAAAAACAAAGCTATAAATTATATCTCTCACGAGGGTTTTTTTTTTTTTTTTTTGGCTCATTTGCTGTGATCGCCTCATGTCTCAACAGTGGCCCATGTGTGTTGTCCAAATCTTATTTATTTAGACAATGTCTGGTTGACATATTGCAGCTAGAATGTGGCCCATATCCTGTAAACAAAACTAACCGAAAATCCATCATTGGGCACCATATGTGGGTCATATGAAAGTACTTTCTGGGTCACAGATCACTCTGCTGTCTACATAGTTTTTGTCGTCTTAAATAATTATATATATATGTATATATATATTTAACTAAAAAAAAGTGCAGCTGCAGAAAAGCGTAGAGATCAGTCAAACCAAATCTTTGAAGATCTGCCGATGTAATAAGCGTTAACTACAAATACAGGTGTGGCTTAGCTTCTAAAACACGACACCTACCACTGAAAAGTGTTTCAACTTGTGGAGTTCACATCTACGGTTCGCACCGCGCTGCATCTGCCTTCATTGAAATTCCCAGCAGACCTCAGAAAATAGACCAGTCGTCTGTTACAGGCTGGTTAACGTTGTTGACGCGAGCAAAGTGTTTCTGTCGCTCTGAAAGTTTGGATTTGTTTTTCTCTTTTTTTTTTCTTTGTTTACTCTTCAATAACTTCATGAGCTGCTTGTAGAACTTTGCTCACCATAACAAGGATCAAGAGGAGAGAGTAGTGGGTGTAGACAGGAGGATAAAAACAGGAACACTCACCTGTTATTGTCGCTCCGTAAAAGACAGATGTGGTTTCTTCTTCTGAGCGGCTTCTGTCGTTTATATATAAATATATCTTTTTATTCACGCAGGTAAAACTTACTGTGCCTAAATGTATTATTATTATTATTTTAACTCTCAGGTTTTCTAACATATTCCACCTCGCAGCTCCACCGTGTCTCGGTGTTGTCCAGGCAACCGTTGATGTTTAGGGGCTAACTGTAAATGCCTTGCTCAAGGGCACTTTTGCAGCATTGTTGTTGTTGCCAATGTTTTCAGATTAAACTCCATCCCCGACCCCCCCCCAAACGCTGCGTCGATGAACTTGTGACCTTCGTGCGACAACCGCTGGCGCTACTGGCGGCGCTCTGTCTTTACTCGGCTTCTCTTTTGGACGTTTCTTTCGAGCAACAGTCAGAGCCGTGCTGCAGTTTCAAACATTCACACTAGATCTTAGCTTGCCCATAAGCCCGTCATATGCAAATGGAGCAGCGTAATAGGCAGCGCACTAGGTCCGCCCCGGGGCCCGTGTGATCAAAGTGGATCTCCTCCCTGTTAAGTGGCAGCGCGCTCGTCATCTGGATGTGGGCAGATTAGTGAGACGACACTGCACAGACGCACATATTCATCTGGAATTTTAAGAAGCCGCTTTAGAAATTGTTTCTTTATGTAAAGATTTCTTCTCCTACAGAGAGAGATTTACCACCTTACACCAACACCTCGACTCCTACCATAAGGTATTATTTTTTTCACCGTCACCGTCTTTTTTTTCGGCTGACTATCGTCTCTTAGCCCTGTGCTAGTGTGGTTTTCAAAACCTGACTGGGTTTAGTGGAGATAACACGACAATGGTGCAAAAATCAAAGTGTGGGAAAAGAGATTTTTCATCTTCATCTTCTTCTTTCCATGTGACCTGATATCGAAATTCTGTGTCATAATAAAATCTCTATTATTTCCCAGTCACGTCTGTGTTGGTGTAACAGCGTCAACACTGGCAACATAATCCACCGTTTCGGCCCAAAAACCCCTGACAGCGGCTGACATGACAGCGGCGCGGAGCCTCCGTTGCCTCTTTTCACCGTCATTTGTCCGAAAGGTCAGATGGGCTATTTCAAAAATGCCCCGAGTGAAAATCAATTGGCAAATCACGGAGCCCAGTTCCTGTTTGCTGTTGCCGTAAGTGGCGGGTTTTGTGTCCGCTTCCTGTTCTGTCACCGACGCCAGACGCCGCCCGATGTCAAGTTGCTGAGAGTGAGAAAATGAAAATGAGGGGATGGATGGATGAAAAACAGGAGAGAGAGATGGGGAGAAAAGGGGGGAAGTTTGGGATGAGTCTGGGAGGGTAAATAGATGGAGGTGGGGTGGGCAGTTGAGGTCAGTGGAGATACATCACGATGTCAGACACACAGATGCACCGCAGCCAAAGATTCATCATCTCAGCTGCCTCTGGAGGCGCAACTGGACACAGGAATCAGGTGGAGCAGGGAGAGGACAGTAGACGTGGGGAGGGGGAGACGAGGGGGAGACAAATTGCTCACGACGACAGTTGGCTTCTGTTCACCTGCAGATGGAAAGTTGTGGCACTTCTGCTGTATGATATGACTGTGATTGGACTAAACTGATTTGAGATCAGTTTTAAAGCTGAAGTGAAGGTTATTTGCTTCATTAACTCCCTCTGTTATCCAATAAAAATGTTGACAGTATATTAGCTGTACGTAGATCTAGATCACACAGATACTACATCAAGACAAGAGCAGTTTATTCTGAGTCAGTCTGTTCTGTCGGCGCTCCAGGGTTTTGCATGGAGTTTCATCAAGTTCCCCTGACGAATAAAGGTTAAAATGTGGTTAAGACAAACAAAAAGTCAATCCCTTCTCTCCCCCTCTACCCCCCNAAGGGATACAAACTTGTCACCTTTTGGCAAAAACCACAGATTTAAATCCAAAATAGGTCAGTTGCATCATTTGTCGGGTGCTTTTTTTTTCTTTCTTTCTTTTTCTGTGTTTGTGTGTGTGTGTGTGTGTGTGTGTGTTAGTGGCACATTGAGGTTTCATCTGCCTTCAGGTGATTTCTTACAGTAATATAATAACTTAAATTGGCTTCTGATGATTGTGATTCCTAAAGTTTGTTAAAAAACCAGCTCTAAATGTTTACGGATGTTTGTCAAGATTCAGGGACTTCTTCTAGTCATTCAACAGTCCACCAGGGAAACACTGACCCCTACAGACCAGTGACAGACGCAGCTGTAAAAATCCGCCCGTTGTCAGACCGTCTTAAATCCTATTTTTTTTCTGCTCATATCGACTCATCTCCAGAAGCGAAATGATTTCTAACTCCCTGATAAACTGCATCCACTAACGAGAAACAAGACGAAAAGATAATTAAGTGTTGTATAATTAACCTGTCGGTTGCTATTTAATATACTATATATTTTTTTAATAGAGAATTATTTTGCACAAAACTCTTGTGACATGTGTCACAACAGATTCATCAGATCCTGGTGTTGGTTTTGTCTACAGTGCATTTAAAATAACGATTAATTCTTTAAGTAATTTTCCATTTATTTTATTTTTGTAAGATATTTAAAAGTCATGTTATTATTTCTTTATTTGCTGAGATGGACTCTAACAGTCAGTGGTATGAGACCTGCAGCTGATCAGTGTGATTATCAATGGATTTCTCAGCAGATATTTTAACATATACATATACATACATATATATATATTTATAATGTGTATCAGATTGTATAAAACCAAAACATGCCAAACATTGTTGAAGTTATTCAGACCGTAACCTTGTTCTCAGCTCCAGTGCAACAGGCCTTAATGTATATATTTGTATTTGTATATTGTTTTCTGATTGGTTGGACTCTGGCTCCACCAGTGACCAGGTCACAGAAAGACTGGAAACCACCCACACTGTGAGCTGGGTCGACCGGCGAGCAGAGGTGTCGGTGTGTCAGAGGACAAAGAATCCGTTTTTTTTATTAGGACCAGTTATATCTGCCAGTTCACGGGCTCTCGTCCTCTGGCCTTTCCCAAACTGCTCTGCTCAAAGACGCCGACTCCCCCTGCTGGGCAGCCCCCAAGGCAAAACACGGCCTCCCTCCTCCCCCGCGCTCTCCACTCTCTGCACTGACTTTAAAAGAGAATTCCCACTGTTTAGCGTGTCCCAGTTCGTAGTCGTTATATTTTTGTCTCCTGGCCTCACAGATACGCCGCGCTTTAAAGGATCTTTAAGGTCTGATATCAATAATTTAATTAGACAGGTCCTCGTTTCATGTCCGCAGAACAAAACAGCCTGTTTTTATTTGTTGCTTTGTTGTCTTTAGTCCTAACTCAAGTATTTTCTTCACCTCAAGATATATTAAAGGGGGTAAGAAAAAGAACCGAGCTTAAAAACTACCTTTGGTGTTATGTATGTTTTCGAATATTACAAAGTGCCGTAATGAGAAGGAAAACAACAAAAAGAAGGTTTTTTTTTTTTTGCCTCCGGGGGAGGTTGCGCTCGTTTCCTTGTTGTT